AAGAGGCTTTTTCATACAATCGGCAGCTTCAAGAATGACAGATACAAATTCATCGACTGCATGATTAACATCGTTCTCTATATGATCTTTGAGTTCCTCATTCCTCCACAGACAACTTAGAGCTTGTAAATATACATCAGCCTTGTTATTGTCCCACCTATATCTACACTTATCTTGTGATTGTTCATGTTTACAGTTAGCAGCATTGTCTGTCACTTCAGTAGTACACTTTAAATGTAAACTCACTGGCATATGCTTCGACTCTACACGAGTATCAATATGCATGTAATTACAGATGTGATGTACATCAACAGAACTAATGAAATAATCAATTACACTGCATCCTTGGTTTGAAATATAAGTGAAGTTGCCATCCAAATCTCCATTTGTTCTTCCATTGAACAAGTACAGATTTTGAGCAAAACATAGGTCTAAAAGCTTACGACCAAACGTGTTTATAACATTATCGCATGAGTGTCTCTGGCCAAGTAGCACAGGACCTTCATCCGGGAAGGCATTTCTGTCAAGTCGTTCAGTGTCAAGTGTCTCTGGTGGGCTGTTACCAATAGCAACTCTGGCGTTCAAGTCCCCACAGAGTTCGAGTCAAGATGTTGAGTGAGCCAGTCATCTAGCTTGTCGATGGGGTTAGATTTATCGACTGCAACATAAAAAGTCGAGCTGGCAGGAGGGGCATACATTCCTAGTATGATGATTTCTTTATGTTTAATGACAATGTTTTTCTCTATTTTTGAAACATACATCATTGTTTATGTCAGTGAAAACTAATTTGCTGTGATACGCCATGGTGCGTTTAACAAACATTACAACCCCAGCTGATAATCTACCATACCTAGCTAGCCTATGTGCTTTACAGATATACATAACATAGGATGAGAGCTCAGGTATGATCATCTACCATACTTAGCTAGCCATGTGCTCTACAGATATACATAACATAGGATGATAGCTCAGGTATGATCATCTAACATACTTAGCTAGCCATGTTCTTTACAGATATACATAACATAGGATGAGAGATCAGGTATGATAATCTACCATACTTAGCTAGCCTATGTGCTTTACAGATACAGATATAGGTATATCATCTACCATACACAGGATGAGAGCTCAGGTATGATCATCTACCATACTTAGCTAGCCTATGTGCTTTACAGATATACATAACATAGGATGAGAGCTCAGGTATGATCATCTACCATACATAGGTAGCCTATGTGCTTTACAGATATACATAACATAGGATGAGAGCTCAGGTATGATCATCTACCATACTTAGCTAGCCGATGTGCTTTACAGATATACATAACATAGGATGAGAGCTCAGGTATGATCATCTACCATACTTAGCTAGCCTATGTGCTTTACAGATATACATAACATAGGATGAGAGCTCAGGTATGATCGTCTACCATACTTAGCTAGCCTATGTGCTTTACAGATATACATAACATAGGATGAGAGCTCAGGTATGATAATCTACAATACTCAGCTAGCCTATGTGCTTTACAGATATACATAACATAGGATGAGAGCTCAGGTATGGATATGACACTGTCTAGAAACGTTTCGACTACACAAATGATATCATAGCTTTGTATATACTCAACAAAATCACTATCGTTAAGTTAAGTGAGGAAACCATCAATATTCCAAGTTAAAATATTTAGATCGCAAAAAGAACTGGAATATTCTGCACCTGATAGTTGCGGTCGTGTAGAGTTGTGGGCCTGGCCGAGTCCCTAGCTGTCGTCCATGGAGGAGCCGAGGTCCGGAGACGGGGAGATGTCAAGCTGTTGGCTGGGGCTGCGGCTGCGGCTGAGGCTGAGGCTGAGGCTGTGGCTGGGACGGGAGTAGAGGCTTGAGAGCTGTGACGCATGCTTGTCCTATAGGCGGACTGTCCGGAACCCCTGCTCCTTCCTGGTATGGATGGAGCAGTCCTAGCACGGGTTAATCTGCGTAGGATAGCTGGTGCGGTCACAAGCTTACCGTTTTTGTAATATGCTATAAGCCCTCTGCTCTTACGGTCCGATATAGTCTCTCTTTGTCTCTTGGTAAGATCATTAGCCACACCTATATTTACCTTTCTCAGATCATCATGATGCTTCAGTACAGCTATTTTATCCTCTGTCGTCGAGAATTTTGCGATCATCAGACGGGGTTTATCATGGCCTTCTTGTCTACGACCTACACGATGCGCTCGTATAATGTCTGACCCTTGCCAAACCTTAACTGCCACATTGCTATTGAGAACAGGTGAGGTGAGGTGAAATTGGGTTTTACGCCGTACTTGAGATTATTTTGCTCATATGACGACGTGCATGCGTGTGTATGTGTATGTGCGGCTGCTTGTACTAGCCCAGACTTAAGCTGGTTTTATAGTGCTAGCCCACTGAGATACCATGCCGCAGTGAAGCATAAATACCCCACTCAGACACATTATACTGACTCCGAGCCGACCAGTCCTTGTTGTACCCATTAATGCCGAGCGCCAGGCAGGGACCAACAAGTACCATATTTTAAGGTCTTTTGGTATGACGCAGTCGGGGATCGAACCCACGACCTTCCGCTCTCCTGGCGGACGCTCTAACCACTACACCACGGAGGCGGTTCTATTGAGAACAGAGATCACTTTGTTTTTACAAGCATCGTAGTTTTCATCCCGCTGTTCGTCTATTCCATACAAAATAAGTTTATCTCTTCGGCTAAAAGACTCCAGTTTATCAAGTTCGGATTCGTGTGTTAAGACTACAGATTCAAGGTTTTCACACTTATGATTCATAGCGTCTATGTCAGTGTAGATTGACACTTGTTCATTTGCCACTCTATCTACGTCTACCCGTAATTCCGACAGTGAATTATCCAATGAAGAACATGCTTCTGCTACTTCGCTTATTTGAGAGTTTATGGCATTCATTTCCGTACACATCGATTGTCGAATTTCGCGGATTTCATTCAATATATCGGTTTTAATCTCAGCTGTAGCAGCATTAAGGTCTTTCATGGTCAATTGTGGACCTGGATTTGTCTCTACATTGTGTGAGAGGATTAGTTGTAGTTTATACATATCAATAAGTTGCAGTTGTCAGTTCAGGAGGCGCCTTATTTGCTTATCAATAACGGAATTTCACAGGTTTACGAGCGGTAAGAACAATTTACTAAAACGTGATATCAGCTCAATAAAAGGGGAGACGCATTGCACGTAATGCACGCCTTTGGTCGTAACAAGTGCATATCTAAAAACGTATGCGCGCCCTAAGGGTCAAAATAATTATACAAACAAACATAATTATGAATATGAATTGTTATATAGGAATTACTGACTGACTGAGTTTGGTTTTTACGCCGCTTTTAGCAATATTCCAGCAACATCACGGCGGGGGACTCCAGAAATGGGCTTCACACATTGTGCCCATGTGGGGATTCGAACACGGGTCATCGGCGTGACGAGCCAACGCTTTAACCATTAGGCTACCCCACCGCCCCATATAGGAATTACAATCACAGATATTGCGATACCTTTTTCCAAGTGTATATATTAATTCATCATTCTGTCCACAATTTCTGTCACCACTGTAAATATAGATTTCATATTAATTTTCTGAAAAATGACGGTGAGACAAAACAGCTGGCCATGTGACGTCTGATGGGAGATTAGGGTTTAATCAGTCTCCTGTCCATATCCTGGAGAATATTTCAAGAAATGAATCAAACTCAAGACTATTCCACAATGGTTTGTCAACTCAAGATTGCCTCAGCAATAACACACGGCGTTGGTACCTTTGGTCATCCATAAGTTATACAGGCCTTTTTTCACTAGTGAGTGAGTTGGGTTCTACGCCGCTTTTAGCAATATTCCAGCATGGCGGGTAACACCCGAAATGGGCTTCACACATCCTACCTATGTTTGTAATGGAACCCGGGCCTTCGGTGTGAGGAGCTTTAACCACTGGGCTACCCCACTAGCCTACCTAAGATAGACATGATTCTACCATTACGTAAGGCAGTACAGAATGGCTGAATGTATTTGCGGGTGTTTGAGTAACGACAGGCGGACAGACAGACAATTCATTCGGTAGAAGCCTAGGAGACCACTGTCCTAAAATATATTCAAACACACCTTTACTTGCGTAAGGATATTTCAATATTTTACTCCGAAAGGTATTGATGAGTATACACGCCCACGAAATATCGATTATGTGCTGAGAACCTAATTCCAATACAAGAGAGAAAGATTAGCATAGCATGTTTACATGCAGATCAAATGGTATAGGAATGTTTCAAGAGTTTCTCAGATTGATGTGAGATTTCCTCAAAAGCAGACCAGATTATTTAGATGAAAATTTACGATCAAGCAATAAGTGCAGTGGTGATATTTTCCTTATAAATATCGTTTTTTTTCTTTCTGTCTTTCAGTAATATCCATTTGGGGCGACTATTTGCTTTCAGTTTACCGTTTACCAATCTTGCCAAACAGTGAAAACTATCAGCGATGAACCGAAATGGGCACGGGCTAATGGCTGAGCCTTGTGTGACACCTTGTTGCAAAATCGCAAGCTTTTTATGCCACCCTCATTCAAAGTATTAAGACCACACAGATATTTGTGCATTCAACTGCTTCACACATGCAGTGATGAAACCCAAACTTGTTTCATATCATGACAGACCCATGAAGATCCGGGTCAGAATTGATCTTCAGAAACCCATGCTTGTCGTCAGGGGCGACTAGCGGGATCGGGTGGTCAGAGTCGCTGACTTGGTTGACACATGTCTTCGTATCCCAATTGCGTAGATAGATGCTCATGCTGTTGATCACTGGCTTGTGTGGTCCAGACCCGATTATTTACAGATCGCCGCCATATAGCTGGAATATTGCTGAATGCGGCTTGAAACTAAACTCACTCACTCATATCATGATAGCTGGATTGTGGCAGTTTTCAACCTAACGATGCAAGAATCATTATTTCAGTTTTGGTTCACAGAATCAAGCCAGCCACTCTTGAGGGATGGAGAACACGACCACCCCGTTGTCTAACGACACAGACGTGGAGGTCCTTCCCCAGTATGTCGGCTTCATCTGCTGCGGGTTAGCCTCCATCTTGTTTGCCACCAACTATGTACCAGTCAAGAAGTTCGAAACGGGTGATGGTAAGTGGGTGGATGATAGTAGACATGTAGGCGGATGATAGTAAGCGGGTAGGTGATGGAGATGGTTGGATGATGGTAGACGGATTTGTGTTAAGGGCGGGTGGGTTACGGGTGACCTTCACGGGTGATAGGTTATCGTAAGAGGGTGGGTTATAGTAAGCGGGTGGGCGATGTGGGAGGGTGGGTTATGGTAAACGAGTGGGTGGTGTGGGCGGATAGGTTATAGTAAGAGGGTGGGTTATAGTAAGCGGGTGGGCGATGTGGGTGGGTGGGCTATAGTAAGCGGGTGGGCGATGTGGGTGGGTGGGTTATAGTAAGCAGGTTGGCGATGTGGTAGGGTGGGTTATAGTAAGCGGGTGGGCGATGTGTATGGGTGGGTTATAGTAAGCGGGGGGCGATGTGGGAGGGTGGGCTATAGTAAGCGGGTGGGCGATGTGGGTGGGTGGGCTATAGTAAGCGGGTGGGCGATGTGGGAGGGTGGGTTATAGTGAGCGAGTGACTTACCACGGATGGATGATGGTACACGGTTTAATGTATCAGTGGGACCTTCTGAAAAAACATTATAGCTATTTCAATGGTATATTCTTAAACTGATGACATCTTGGTATTTTCAGGAATGTTTTTCCAGTGGGTGTTGACTAATGGTATCCTCATCACCGGTTTTGTGATCCAGGCAATCCGGCTGTCACGTTTTTACCCAATCGTCATGGTCGGGGGCTCATTGTGGGCCACAGGTAAGTCATAGACTAGCCTGTCCCACCCTTCGTCATGGTCGGGGGCTCCTTGTGGGCCACAGGTAAGTCATAGACTAGCCTGTCCCACCCTTCGTCATGGTCGGGGGCTCCTTGTGGGCCACAGGTAAGTCATAGACTAGCCTGTCCCAACCTTCGTCATGGTCGGGGGCTCCTTGTGGGCCACAGGTAAGTCATAGACTAGCCTGTCCCACCCTTAGTCATGGTTGGTTGTTCCATCTGGGACCACGGGTAAGTGGCAGACTAACATGTCCCACCTTTCGTCATGGCTGCTTGTTCCATCTGGGCTTTCCTCATTGTTGGTAATTTACAGACTAACATGTCCCACTTTTCGTCATGGCTGCTTGTTCCATCTGGGCTTTCCTCATTGTTGGTAATTTACAGACTAACATGTCCCACTTTTCGTCATGGCTGCTTGTTCCATCTGGGCTTTCCTAATTGTTGGTAATTTACAGACTAACATGTCCCACTTTTCGTCATGGCTGCTTGTTCCATCTGGGCTTTCCTAATTGTTGGTAATTTACAGACTAACATGTCCCACTTTTCGTCATGGCTGCTTTTGTTCCATCTGGGCTTTCCTCATTGTTGGTAATTTACAGACTAACATGTCCCACTTTTCCTCATTGTTGGTTGCTCCATCTGGGCTACGGGTAAGCTGCAGACTAACATGTCCTCCTTTCGTCATGGTTGGTTGTTTCAACTTGATTGTATGTTTTCGGCATTTGACTCAACGATTCTCAGAGTTTATTGAATTGTTAAGAAAATTTTGCTGATTTTAAAGTACAAACTATCCTGAAAGAGTACATTTAATGTTCCTAACAATGGTGTTGGGTCCCGCTCCTCAAAGAGATCGTAGTGCTACAACCTTCGTAAATCTATTGTCGTGGATATGCGTCGACTGGGGGATTAGCTCATAATTAAGATGAAGTGTACCTACAATACGTTGACGAGACGAAGGAATACGTTGAGTTCAAACTTCTTTAAATGTGGTGAGCGGAGTACCTGCTCAACCCCAGGACGTTTCCTACGAGCGGCATTATCCTGCTCGCAGTCGTCCCTACACAAGCAGGCGGTATACCGGACTCGTCCTCCTTCAACGTATAGATGTGAGCATGCTAAGTATATATACAGTTTTTGACAACAATGGACAGGCGACAACTCAACAATGGACAATTAGAAAAACAATAGCACTTCCTTGACCAGTTGATGTGATGGCAGACACGGCCAAGGGCAATGGCCAATACGGGTTTTAAATGTCATATACAGTAATTAATTACCTGACAAGTCAATGTACAATGCGGAAGTGATAAGGATTACATAGAATACAGATTAGCATCATATAAATAATTACAATAAAGTCTCAAATGTCTTGACTCCATAGCTTTTTACTTTTTAAATATTTGGACGATGGCTGTCCTGAATTAGTCACTAAAACACTATGTTAAAGTATGGGAGTCACGACTGTCATAGTGCTACGATCGCTTTCAAGAACGGGGCCCTGGTCTCATTACACACCTTTTAAGTCCATTGTCTAAGGTGAATTTGGAAGCGAACGTGAGTAAAATATACACGCGAATTGTAATATTTCGTAAGCTAAACATGCATACTACCGTATCCCAAATTAGAGCAATATGTTTAGAAAGCAGCGAGAGTTTGTGCTTTCCAAGAGAGAATAACAGCATGTCCTTCACACGCTGAGTTACATAAAACAAATGATGTCATGAATAAATGAGCTAATAAATGAATATTCAAATATATACTCATTAACTGAGTTATCTTTGGACCACTGTGCCCAACTCAGAAACAGGTTAAAGCGTTGCCCTCAGAAGTTACTGTATGCACATTGGTAATTCACTATACTTGTAACCCCTATTAATGCAAATGGACTTAACAATTTTGTTAAGCTTATTTTTGCTTAGAGATAAGAGTTAGGATAAAGGTTTATAATTAGTCATTGTTGCAGAATCGTGCATAAGCTCTTTAAAAATAAATAAAAATTGAGCAGAGGAATTAGAAATTACTACTGTATAAACAGCAGAATAATATAATGCAGAATCGACATTTGTTTTTTTTTATCAGAAATCGTCCAATTGACATTACACTGAGTAAAATGTGTCACTTCCTATTCCCGTCATAATTTAAGTAAAAATCTAGTGTTTGGCACGTCCATGTACTAAAATGGACAAAATACACCGAGAAGAGTATCCTTTGTACCAGACAAGCGGCCAACCAGTGTACCATAGAGGGCATCTTCACTGGCTCAACACCCGTGAAGATCCGGGTTAGAATTGATCATCAGTAATCCATACTTGTCCTAAGAGGCGACTAACGGGATCGGGTGGTCAGTCTCGCTGACTTGGTTGACACAAGTAATCGTATCCCAATTGCGTAGATCGATGCCCATGCTGTTGATCACTGGATTGTCTGGTCTAGACTCGATTATTTACAGACCGCCGCCATATAGCTGGAATATTGCTGAATGCGGCTTGAAACTAAACTCACTCACTCACACCGAGCAGAGTATCCTTTATACCAGACAGACGGCCAGCCAATGTACCATAGAGATCCTTCTTCACTGGCTCAACGTGAGACGTTAGGTTGTATCACTGGACGCGTGTGCATGAAAGGTGCACTGCTTTTCGAGATCGGATCAGCATCAGAACACAATCTACCGGGAAATTCAGAACAGCATCAGTCTCCAAGTCAAAATGAGACGACTTCTTGATGTAATATGTAAGAGCAGATATAAGATGAGCTTTCCTCAGTGCCCGAACAAGCTATCATTGCATCTTTTGCGAGTGTGACATTCACCCACTTGACCATGTTCTAGGCAGAGTGGAGGAAGGAATGACAAGTCTTTATGGATGATCAACTTCTTTATTGTACAATATCGACGTTTCGGTATATAGATACTTATACCGTCTTCAAGCATGAATGTAAGTATCTATACCGAAACGTCGATATTGTACAATAAAGAAGTTGATCACCCATAAAGACCTGTCAGTCCTATTACTTACAACTTCTAGAATGCCTCTCAAACAGTTCAGGATGGAGGAAGGCCCTGACTCCGAGAAGATCACATCCTCCAAAGACTAAATGACATCAGCCTTGGTTGTAAAGTTTGCATAGAAACATTGGACCGCGTACCAACATCCACTTCGAGGGAGGGCACCATCAGTTGAAGAACATGATCCATCCCAACCTCTTCCTGTCCACGACTCACCTAAAGAACCTGGACCCCGTTTCACAAAGCTATCGTAGCGCTACGACTGTCGTAGGTCTATGTTACAGCAAGATGGCTTTGTGAACGGGGCCCTGGAAGCTGTGAACAGGGCAAGGTTTGATCAACTAGATCTCGAAGGATATTCTCAACACCTGAAGAAGGATGTTTTGCAGTTCCTAGATTCAGCAATCAAATTTTACAAAGTTAGAATCACACAGTCCACCATCCACTTTGCCTGGGAATAAGGGAAGACAGTCGCAACGATTTAAACTTGAGTATACGTAATGTGGTAGCCCATTGCATGTGTCCTGTTTCCATGATAATGCAAAGGATGCATTAAACATCACTCACTCACTCACCCCTCACTCACCCACCCAACTCCCACTCACTCACTCCCTCACTCTTCCCCCAGGAAACGTTGTTGTGGTCCCAATCGTGAAGACCATCGGACTTGGACTTGGCATCTGTGTCTGGGGCTCCGTGCAGTTGCTCGTCGGTTGGGGCAACGGCAGGTACGTCATGTCCTGTCCCTCGCAGTGATATGGCTAAAAGCGGCTTAAAACCATACTCACTCATTACTTTGAGTCTCATCCTACAAAAGCAATTCATCTATTAAAAAGCAACATTCGGTTTCAATCCAGATTTATATCAGTATGATAAAACGGATATTGCACTACCATGTTATATAATTCAAACCCTGAGATGAACATGTTGCAGGTTCGGGCTGGTGGGCATCGACGCCGAGATCCCCAACAACATCACCTTGAACTACGTCGGTGTGTCCCTCTCTCTCGTCAGGTAAAACATGCAGATCTTGCCTGTATATATGGTGTGTATGATATATTCTGCGCACATTCTATCTTGAAATATAGTCAATGTATGTTTAAATTAGTTTGGCCCATAGTAACGCATTGTACTTGTGTGGTCACCATTGCGATGCGGTGCGGTGCGGTGCGGTGCGGTGCGGTGCGGTGCGGTGCGGTGCGGTGCCGTGCGGTGCCGTGCCGTGCCGTGCCGTGCCGTGCCGTGCCGTGCCGTGCCGTGCCGTGCCGTGCCGTGCCGTGCCGTGCCGTGCCGTGCCGTGCCGTGCCGTGTCGATGCAATGCGATGCGATGCCATGCGATGCGATGCGATGCGATGCTAGGTCAGGCGATGCGTTGTGAAGTGAGGCGTGTCGTGTCGTGGCGTGGTATAATGGAGGGTAAACCATGGTCCTATGGATTATAAGAGATGGGTGTACTCGGGATGCAGATCGAGAGCGGGATGTCAGTTGGCGTGGGGGTCGATATAGATGGTGTTGGTGCTAATGCGTACAATGTAGATGCAGGTGGATTCGGGGATATCAATAGGGCTCGAATGTCGGGTTGGAGTTAAAAAAACGGGACCTGACTATTTTTTATTATTGCATTGAAATATGTAGCATTTGCAGCTTTATACCTATTACATGATTGTATTCGGAACGTATCAATGTAACTGTGGTAACAATGATCTTTTCTCTGCAGTACAGTGATCTATGCGTTTGTCAAGCCAGATATTCAACCTATCACCATGGAGTTGACAATACCAGGACCTGACGAAGAGGCGGCCGACAGTAAGGTCAGTATGTGTGGGCCGTGAATGAGTGAGTGAGTGAGTGAGTAATTGAGTGAGAGTGAGTGTTGATTTGCGTCGCTTTGGACAATATTACATCAATATTACGACATCGGACCCCATATTCGGGAATCTCACATAATGCTTTGACGCTGATTATTTATAATAATATTTATCTACCATTTCCACGTCCTACAGGAGATCCGCATGTCTGAGCCAAAAGACGGTGACATGGAAGGAAATGCCCCTATAAAACCGTCCCCCGGACAAATGTCTATAGAAAGATGGTCGCCTGTTAAGAAGAAGATAACGTATGTCAAATGTTTCCTCTTCAAACCTGTCATTTCAGTTTCAACATATTCAAATTGAGATTGATGCATTTTCCTGATCTCAACGAATCCTGAATTGTGTTACATGATGAAATACGGATATTACACTTTCAATGAACGTACTTTCATATAACTCACATTGCGAAGAATATCGTTATGTTAACCTGAAGCTAAGCCAAAGTTTTAATTAAAATACCAAACCGCATGAGAAAATTCAACCCCTGTTTGGAATAAAAGGAATGATCCTATCAAAGTATGAGCGGTATATTTTGTCATGTTTCCAGTGGGATCGTTCTATCTGCAATCTCCGGTGTGCTCTACGCCTTCCAGTTCATCCCGGCCAGATACATGCAGGAACATGAGAAAGACAACGGTGCCAGTCAGAACTGTGAGACTACTTCTACTACTACTACTACTACTACTACTACTACTGCTACTACTACTACTGCTACTACTGCTACTGCTGCTACTGCTGCTGCTACTGCTGCTACTGCTGCTACTACTACTACTACTACTACTACTACTACTACTACTGCTGCTGCTACTGCTACTGCTGCTGCTACTACTACTGCTGCTGATGCTACTGCTACTGCAACTGCTGCTACTACTACTACTACTACTACTATAATCGATATTATCTACTTACAGTACTCGACTACGTGTTCGCTCACTATTGCGGTATCTACCTCGCCTCAACCGTCTACTTCGTCATCTACGCTCTCTTCCGGCGCAACCGACCCACGGTGTACTCCCAGGTGGTCGTCCCGGGGCTAGTGTCGGGCTTGATGTGGGGGGTAGGGGGTGTCGGGTGGTTCATCTCCAACATGGCTCTCTCAGACCCTGTCTCCTTCCCAATCATCTCTACCGTCCCTATGGGAATCTCGCTTCTGATTGGAGTGTTGGCCTTCAAGGAAATCAAGGTTGGTCGATGATGAGAATGAGTGGGTGAGTTTGTTTTTCACCGCTTTTAGCAATATTCCAGCAATATCACGGCGGGAAAAAAACAGAAATTGGCTTTACACATTGTACCCTTGTGGGAAATGGAACCGGGGCCTTCAGCTTGACGCTTTAACCACTAGGCTACCCAATGCCCCGATGATGCGAATGAAGCGAGAGAACGTCGTGTTTCCCCCCGAAATACCCGTGTGGATGGCGTTTATGTAATTTATACAGTGAAGGTAGAAACATATCCATTTATTATTGATATTTTGGGTAATAGTATTGTAATAAATGCCATATTCATCATTTATAACTGCTGTCGAAATGTTAATGACGTAACAGATAGCAAATTCTTGATGAAAAGAAATCATTCAAGATCGCATGTGTCTGTTGTGTATTTTATGAAACCAAACGCAAACCAAACCCAAACAAAATAAACAGGAAACAAAACCCCCAAAACTATATCCATTTATTATTGATATTTGGGGCAATAGTATTGTAATAAATGCCATATTCATCATTTATAACTTGCTGTCGAAATGTTAATGTCGTAACAGATAGCACATTCTTGATGAAAAGAAATCATTTAAGATCGCATGTGTCTGATGTGTATTTTATGAAACCAACCGCAAACCAAACCCAAACAAAATAAACAGGAAACAAAACCCCACAAACAAAACAAATAGCACAACGCGAAAGAAATTGCATGGGTTGAAGACCAAACCCGGATCCTCACGAAGGGAGACAAGCATGGGTTGCTGAAGACCCATTGGAACCCTAATGTTCACTGGTTATTAGAAATGTCAACCATTTGTACCTTGTCTAGGATTTTGTTGCTGTACATTTGATGACATGACCTTTCTGCACGAGTGGTGTCCAACACTTTTGAATGTTTTGTTGTGTCTCTCCAACGAAAGACAATCCACTAAAGGTACATTCAGAAGGGTCTTTTGTTTGACAAGTCTTGACACAGTATACGTTGGCATAATTATCACATTTCGTGTTCTGTAGGGACGTCGCAATATCATCATCGTTCTCGTCGCCATGACGTTCACCATAGCTGGGGCGGTATTGGCCGGCGTCTCAAAGACGTGATGCCATGACTGTTGGGAGGCATGAATACTCGGACTACAACATGACATGACGCCGTCTGTCGGGACTGCACGCTCTTCACCATTACAACATCCGGAATTTACTACTATTGTTAACATAATCTCATCAAAATTAGATAGTTGTGGTCGATACCGACAAACTGAGGATTTCACATTTCAGACCACATCAGGGCGTCCTTTCGCGAACTTTGATCGGTAAATGATCAACCGTAAAATCGATATCAGCCAATCACGGTCCACTTGCACGGAGCAATCTTTGCGCTATGTACAACCATCTTAAGTTGTGTTAAAGTATCGGAATTACGATCATCGTAGAGCTAAAATCGCTTTGTGCAATTGACTCCTGAATCTCTCGATTTTTTCGGCACTAGTTTAAGAATGGTGAATCTTCTTTCTGGACAGTACGTATTATACACTTCTACACTTGTTAACAAAGATCTCTATTCTGTTAATCTGAAAACTGATCAAAACAAAGTGTCTAACAGACGATATATATTGTATGGTGGAATTCACCACGTTCGCTGGAAAATGTTTCAGTGGGTATGTCCCCTTACAGTCCATGACTGTCGTTAGGAATGCCTGCTGGTAACCTTTTTTAGATTAATGATTACACTTAAACACATTTGGACATTCCCTGACCCTCATAAGCGACGTTTTGACCGGTCAAGATGAAAGGCCGTTCATAATAGAATTAAGATCTTTGTGTAGCCGTTTGAAGACCTGTGTTCAAAGAGCTTACTAAGATAAAACAAGACAAGACAGTGTTATCAGATCGTGAGAGATTTCTATTTAACTTAAAAACAAAAACTTGTTTAATTTGAGGGTACATCACCAACAGACTGTTGTTACATCACGAACAGGTTGTTACATCACGAACAGGTTGTTGTTACATATCGAACAGATTGTTGTTACATCACGAACAGGTTGTTGTTACATATCGAGCAGATTGTTGTTACTTATTGAGCAGATTGTTGTTACATATCGAACAGATTGTTGTTACATCACGAACGGGTTGTTGTTACATATCGATAAGATTGTTGTTACATCACGAACAGGTTGTTGTTACATATCGAGCAGATTGTTGTTACATCACGAACAGGTTGTTGTTACATATCGATAAGATTGTTGTTACATCACGAACAGGTTGTTGTTACATATCGAGCAGATTGTTGTTACATCACGAACAGGTTGTTGTTACATATCGAGCAGATTGTTGTTACATCACGAACAGGTTGTTGTTACATATCGAGCAGATTGTTGTTACATCACGAACAGGTTGTTGTTACATATCGATAAGATTGTTGTTACTTATTGAGCAGATTGTTGTTACATATCGAGCAAATTGTTGTTACTTATTGAGCAGATTGTTGTTACATATCGAGCAGATTTTTGTTACATATCGAGCAGATTATTGTTACATCACGAACAGGTTGTTGTTACATCACGAACAGACTGACTGTGTGTTGTATTGGTGGAGGCGGTGTGAATTATTATTGTTTATTTTAATATTGCTTTTGTATTAACCCAGAAATTGAAAGCAAAGCTCAACAGTAGCTTGACGTCAGGCTACTATGAATAACCCAGGAATACTTTATTGCAGGGTTTTAGCGCCTTTGACTTGCATCTTAAAATGCATACGTATGTCCAATGCTTCTTTTCTGTTTGAACGAGTCTAATGATATTGTTGTACATGTCAAATGAATAAATATTATGGAACCAGCCCTTATTAAATCCTAATATGGCGGACACATATTGTCCCAAATAGCAGGGGCCCGCCGCTCTCACAGAATCAAAATGCATCGTATTTCTTGCATAGCAGTGCCACACACGTGCTTAGGGTGTCATTCCTGATTTGCGTTCTCACGGTGCGACTTATAGTAACAACTTGTAGGATACGACTTGTAGTAACAATATAAGTTGTTCACTGGTCACGAGGGGCGCATGAGTTGATGTACCCAAACATAAACAAACATCGAGGGTACATCAACCCATGGGCCCCGAGGGACCAGTGAACAACGTATTTATCTTGCCGAACACCTTAAGGTTAATTTTGAATTGTTTGAAGCACGGGTACAAATCTTTTTGTAGCCATCGCTAGATTTTGCTGACAAGACAAACAGATTTAGAGTTATCTCCCTTCCATCGATTTGCATTCGCAAAACATCGGTAATTTCCGTACATTATACGTGATTCAATGTTATACGAGAAAAGGAATTACTACCACGAAGTACCAAATGAGTTGCCATTGACAGCGGGGTACATTCAAATGTTACTCGCTTGTAATCGGGGTACATTGAAAATAATAGAAGAGCTCTCAGCCAGTCAGAAAGCGACATTCATGTGTGAGGTAGATAACAAAGATTGTAACGACTTTGTTATTTGTGTATTCAACTAAGTCGCATTCAACTCGTATCTCGCGAGAATCTCACGTATAACTCGGCAACATGGAATCGCCGAGTGAAGAAGAAACGCTAGCGTTAATGTCAGTCTGTATATCGCAGTCACTGAAAAAGAAGGGAAAGCCTAAAGCAGTGTAAATGTGGGTCGGTTGCTTCTCTGGTAAGGTCGATTTCGTTGTCTCCGACTCTGAGGTGAACACAGATCTAAGCGATTTGATTGGTCGAGAGCATGTGAATTCGGACAAATCCTATGTCTTACAACTCGCCTGCGACTAGTTGTATGTGATATCACTTCGCTACGATTTGGGTGTTCTCACGTCGCACCGTGAGAACACACCTTTACGTGCTGAGGGTCTGCAGGTAATGGCATGATGGAAACTTCAGCATCTATAGAACAGAATGGTTAGAAGCGACCCCCACAGAACAATAACATGACAGGTCCACGTGTGCGTCAACGTCATCGGCCACTTACCATGCACTGTACGCTGCAATATGAGTGGTAGAGATTTCCTAAATTCGCCATTGGGATATTTATACGCAGTGGGGCAACACGCTGTACTGTCATACTCCACAGCCGGCTGTAATGTGTTCCTAATTCGTTCGTTATTATCATGCGATTGTGTGTTTGTTTGCTTATTTTTTAACGCCCCATGCTGTAATGTTCCAGCTATATGGCGGCGGTCTGTATTTAATCGAATCTGGACCAGCCAATCCAGTGATCAACATCATGAGCTTCTATCTACGCAATTGGGATACGATGACATGTGTCAACCAAGTCAGCAAGCCACACCACCCGATCCCGTTAGACGCCTCTAACGCATGGGTTTGCTGAAGGCCAATTCTAACCCGGATCTTCACGTGTCTTCATACAACTATGGCTAGAAACGAAACAACGCACAACGAAAAGGAAAACAGTTACCTGATAAACTAGACTCATTACACGTTTATAGGGCATACTGACACAATAGAAACAACAAGAAAACAACAACAACAATAACAGCAACAACGTTGTCTGTAAATTCAGATGCATCTACACCTTCATACCTATATGACTAAGTTAAGCCTTCATAGCTCCATCTTGGAACTTGTTTACGACACATGCTACTCTATTGGGGCCCACTAAAGGCCGCTTAGTTCTGAAGTGTCCATTGACATCACTCACACCCTAACAGCAGAATGTGTGCAATCTCTGTACGGAAACCTGCTCACTGGCGTCACTACTTACCGTTATTGTGTGCTGATAAGGTACACACCTATATCTATATCTCCTAACCTCAATTGTCAACCGACATGTCCTTGTAAAACTATACCAGATTGTAACGTTACCCCTCAACTGAATAATGCACTGTTCCACACAAACTGTAAGGGGAATTAAATCCTGCATTGCACCTTCGATAGACAGGTGGCATTGGGATGGTCCTAAGAATCCTAGATTGAGAAGGCAATTTAAGGTAAGTGTGTTGTGTGTTTGTGGAGATAGATAGATAGATAGATGGAGAGAGAGAGAGAGAGAGAGAGAGAGAGAGAGAGAGAGAGAGAGAGAGAGAGAGAGAGAGAGAGAGAGAGAGAGAGAGAGAGAGAGAGAGAGAGAGAGAGAGAGAGAGAGAGAGAGAGAGAGAGAGAGTTCCCAAATAACTGAGCACTTTTAATGGGATTCGAACCCGTTTGACGACTATCTAGTATATGTGTGTACTTACTTCAGTCCTAAATACCCCATACCCCAAACTGCGTCATTTTATTTTTGTGGTCATTTTGCCATACATTACATTAAAAATCAAACATGCATTTTCATAATGTTTCAGTGAAGAGTCACTAATGTGCTACTGATCAGAATATGTTCCTGGTGCTTGCAATACTCACCAGTGTACTATGTGAAAACAGGTCTCTTGCAAAGAAGCATTCATTTTAGATCCTGCTCTGCATATGTTATGTGTCAAGGTCAAAGCTATTTATCATGTCTGTTTACTAAATATCTGCATGGGGCACCTTTCAGAAGGTCAACATAAACTTGGCAAGCCTTCCCTCCAGTAAGTACAGGGACTGGCCTGTGTTTTGACAGCTCAGACGTGTAGAAAGTCTTGGTTGTTACAAATATAGGTTGCTGCTAACTCAGAGCTGATAACAATATATATAACCATCTGATAGTAGTATCTTGATAACGCCTCCAGCAAAGATATCAACGTATCAGCGTCATCAAACGTGTGTTAAATAATGTGTCATTATTTTCGGTTGTATCAAACTGTTTATTTTCATCACTCTTGTAAAATACATGCAGTTACTTGAATGGGGAAATGTGCTTACCATTTACCTATCGTTAAAACTAACCATACGTCCTGACATGCGCAAGTACGTTGATGAAAGACTTTATGTTTTGCATTGAACACATGTCAAGCTGAACGTCAGACGTGACGTTTCTTAACATACTGTGGAGGCGGTGGGGTAACCTAGTGGTTTGAGCGTTCACTCGTCCCGCCGAAGACCCGGCTTCGATTCCCCGCATGGGTACAATATGTAGCCCATTTCTGGTGTCTCCCGCAGTGATTGTGATGGAATATTACACGGATTTATGGGCAAATTATTGCTGAATATTTTAATGTAAGCTGTGAGTGAGTGAGTGAGTGAGTAAGTTTAGCCGCACTCAGCAATATTCCAGCTATATGGCGGCGGTCTGTAAATACTCGAGTCTGGACCAGACAATCCAGTGATCAACTGCATGAGCATCTATTTGCGCATTTGGGAACCGATGACATGTGTCAACCAAGTTGGCGAGCCTGACCACCCGATCCCGCTTGATGTAAGGACGCATGAAAAAAACCAAATGCTTAGTTTAATAACGCCATTGACAAATGAAACATTAAATACGTTATAAACCAGTACGGTTTATTGAATAACAAGTTGACAATGCTTTGATGCAGTGAGAGTCTGACTAACAAGACCATACAGTTTACAATTCATGTATAGCAACGTATCTCGCGTGCCGGGGCGGTGGGGTAGCCTAATGGTTAAAGCGTTGGCTCGTCACGCCGAAGACCCGGGTTCGAATCCCCACATGGGTACAATGTGTTAAGCCCATTTCTGGTGTCCCCCGCCGTGATGTTGCTGGAATATTGCTAAAAGCGGCGTAAAACCAAACTCAGTCAGTCAGTCAGTATCTCGCTTGCCAATACGAGTAACGTGTGCAAGTCTCGCCTATTTCTGTAACCTACAAGAAGATCACGAACGAACCTTGTGTCCCTCTGCTCTACATATTACTAGGTTCATGTCCGGATAGGGTCCATTTGCCCATCCATGAGATATGCGAGGCGTCCTTTATACAGTTTACTGAAGATAGACACAGGTCACAACTACACAGGAAGCATAGTGGACGTATGTATTCAGGGGTGATATAGAAACGATAGCCAGACATACAGACATGCAGACAGATAGACGGGTAGGTTGAAACTGTATTCAGTATAAGACCACTAACCCAAAATAGGACCATACAAAAGTTTACCTGTATGGCCATATTACAACATTTAACTCTGAAGGAAACTCAGGTTCGTGATGTATAGAGATCCGTTCAGTATTGGTAATGGATAGCTCAGAACAAACTGTGGTCCAATATTAGAAGGAAATTTGATGCCGAATGTTTGATCCCAGGGTGATGGAATGTTTGCTCAAATTAATGTAAGATTTTCTCATAACGATTTTAGACATCAGCATATTTTGTTACAATTTTTCCATCAACTAACAAATTCAGTGATGATGATACTTCTATAAACACACTTTATTCAGTAATATTCCCTCTTAGGACCATTTGTGTTTTCCAAATTTTACCATAAGAAATTTTCTAGTTGATGCTCAAAATTGTTTCATATAATGAAAACATGGCTTCAGATATATGTTTGTTGCTGTTTTTCATTAATTTGGCAATATCCACTTCCGTTTCATAAATTTGAATATATACAGTCATACAGTTCAAATTATGAGCAATGTACCGCAACAGGCACGGGCTAATGGCCAAGCCTTGTGGAACACCATGTTGCTGAAACAAAAGACCGAGTTTCTTATGTCACACTCAGTCAAAGTGGGGCGGTGGGGTAGCCTAGTGGTTAAAGCGTTCGCTCGTCACGCCGAGACCCGGGTTCGATTCCCCATATGGGTACAATGTGTGAAGCCTATTTCTGTTGTCCCCCGCCGTGAAATTGCTGGAATATTGTTTACTCACTCTCTCAAAGTATTGCAACTGCCACAGTAGACTAAACAAATGTCTGTGTTTTTAATTGTTCCACACGTGCGATGAAGAAACTTAAGATTGTTTCATGTAATGGAGTCATGGAAACATGGCAAAACACAAGTATCATTATTTCATAAAAATATAATTAATGATGATAAAGTTGTGACTAAATTCAGTTATTGTTTACAGAATCAAGCCAGCCAATATTTAGGGATGGAGAACACGACCAACCTGTTGTCCAACGGCACAGACGTGGACGGCCTTCCCCAGTATGTCGGCTTCATCTGCTGCGGCATAGCCTCCATCATGTTCGGCACCAACTTCGTACCTGTCAAGAAGTTCGAAACGGGTGATGGTAAGTGGATGGGTGATGGTAGGACGGTGGATGATGGTAGGTGGGCGGACGATGGATGTGTGTGGCAAAAGTGGACCGATAGGTGATGAGAACGAGCTGGTGATGGTAAGTGGGTAAATGCTAAAGACGGATAGGTGATGATAAATGGGTGAATGCCAAAGACGGATAGGTGACGGTAAGTGGGTGAATGCTAAAGACGGATAGGTGATGGTAAGTGTGTGGATGCTAAAGACGGATAGGTGATGGTAAGTGGGTGAATGCTAAAGACGGATAGGTGACGGTAAGTGGGTGAATGCTAAAGACGGATAGGTGACGGTAAGTGGGTGAATGCTAAAGACGGATAGGTGACGGTAAGTGGGTGAATGCTAAAGACGGATAGGTGATGGTAAGTGGGTGAATGCTAAAGACGGATAGGTGACGGTAAGTGGGTGGATGCTAAAAACGGATAGGTGACGGAAAGTGGGTGAATAATAAAGATGGCAAGGTGATGGTAAGTGGGTGAAAAATAAAGACAGGTGATGGTAAGTGGGTGAATAATAAAGACAGGTATGGTAAGTGGGTGAATAAAAAAGCTGGCTAGGTGATGGTAAGTGGGTGAATAATAAAGATGGCTAGGTGATGGTAAGTGGGTGAATAATAAAGATGGCTAGGTGATGGTAAGTGGGTGAATAATAAAGACATAGGTGATGGTAAGTGGGTGAATAATAAAAACAGGTGATGGTAAGTGGGTGAATAATAAAGACGGATAGATGATGGTAAGTGGGTGAATGCTAAAGACGGATAGGTGATGGTAAGTGGGTGAATGCTAAAGACGGATAGGTGATGGTAAGTGGGTGAAAAATAAAGATGGCTAGGTGATGGTAAGTGGGTGAATGCTAAAGACGGCTAGGTGATGGTAAGTGGGTGAAAAATAAAGATGGCTAGGTGATGGTAAGTGGGTGAATGCTAAAGACGGATAGGTGATGGTAAGTGGGTGAAAAATAAAGATGGCTAGGTGATGGTAAGTGGGTGAATAATAAAGACGGCTAGGTGATGGTAAGTGGGTGAATAATAAAGATGGCTAGGTGATGGTAAGTGGGTGAATAATAAAGATGGCTAGGTGATGGTAAGTGGGTGAATAATAAAGATGGCAAGGTGATGGTAAGTGGGTGAATAATAGAGACAGATAGGTGATGGTAAGTGGGTGAATAATAGTGAGTGAGTGAATGAGTTTAGCTTTACGCCGCACTCAGCAATATTCCAGCTATATAGCGGCTGTCTGTAAATAATCGTGTCTGGACCAGACAATCCAGTGATCAGCAGCATGAGCATCGATCTGCGCATTTGGGAACCGATGACATGGGTCAACCAAGTCAGCGAGCCTGACCACCCGATCCCGTTAGTCGCCTTTTACAAGCATGGGTTACTGAAGATCCATATTCTAACCCGGACCTTCACGGGTCGGGGTGAATAATAAAGACGGATATGTGATGGTAAGGACTGATGGGTGAGCAACAAGTTCAAAAGGAAGGATCCGTGATGGTAAGCGGTTGGGTTATGAGAGCAGATGAGTGATGGTAAACTATTGGGTGTATAGTTGTGGCTAGTTCAGTTATTCATATTTTAACATATGACATTCCAGTTTGTTATTTTCAGGCATGTTCTTCCAGTGGGTGTTGAGTAATGCCATCATAGTCTCGGGCATAGTGATCCAGACAATCCGGCTGTCACGCTTTTACCCCTTTGCCATGGTCGGGGGCATCATTTGGGCAACAGGTAAGTAACCTAATAACATGTCTTTCTCTGTGTCGTGGTTGGTCATTACATCCAGGCCATGGGTGAATTACAGACTAAGATGTCCTTCCTTTTGTTGTGGTTGGTAGTTCAAACCGAAACATGAGTCTCATTAACCAATTCAGACAATGACCTACTTTTCAGCCGATTCGAATTTTCTCGTGTGAAATTGAAAGGAGACACTACACACAACTATGGTTACACTGAATTCCAATTGCTTGTGTCATAAGAAAATGGTATTTACAAATTAATCTTAATTTTAAAGTTTAATAAAATCGTATTTCTATATTTTATGTCGAGGTTAAGGTAGCATGTCGTTATCTAAGACGTCACAGCCTGCCCCTGTTTGAAGAGGTCGTTTAATTATTCACAATTCATCTGGCTCACTGGTTACACCTGTAATGTGTTTTTGCGCGTATTAGGTGCATTATTTGTAACGTACACTGTGATTGATGAAACATCAAGTCCGTACTAGACCGCCAAATTTTTCAAGCGGCTGAGCCTCGTCTTGAGATTTCCACGATGTCCAGATTTCCGTTTGTCAGCGCACGCTGTGCGACACAGCACGCTGCACGACCTGTTTGGAAGGATAAGAAGGAGCGTAGTGTTGCAATATGCAAGTGATTAGGTCCATCAGATAATACAGATTAATAACTATATGTCCAGTTGAATGAGTTAGTCTCAAAATTGTTGACTGGTTATTGTAGTAAGTTGCGCAATAGGACGGAACCCAGTCAGCAGGAACGAGACTTGTGCGTAATCATTGTTTTGACTTGTTTCGGGGCCACGGGTGAGTAGCAGACTAACATCAAGTAATTACATCTGTTAAATGACACTAACAAGTACTATAAAATATTCATTGAGAAAAAATAGAATTAAAGCTTCATGAAATCTAACTCCAGCTACGCTCTTGTTGTCGCTACAAGAAGATTTCCCATCACCGGTCACGTCAGTGCGACCGTTCGCGAATTTTGCAGGACCAATAAAATGATTAACATGAAGTCAACATTAACCAATCAAAGCGTATGACGGCTTTTTCAAGCCCTACAGAACAAGTTTCAAACTGGCGAATTCCGTCTCATACTAGGCTTTAAAAATATATTGACAAATTCTTGATTCACTGGTAAAGTGACTACAAGAAAATTGTGGAAAAGATGGCTGAGACTTAAGGGCAGTTCTTTCCACGTGTAATGGAAATTTATTTTCAGTTTGATGTTTTACCTTATTGAGGAATACATTTGACGGAATCAGTCACATAGTCCGCTCTTTCGTTTGGGATGTCAGCTTTCTCGACGTTCTACAACACATATAAATTTGCACTTTGCCCGTTCGTCCGACTGTGACCTCTGATGGGCTGTGACAAATTAATGCGTTGCAGCTGCGAGCACGGACATTTGATTTTCATGAGACTGAGCAGCATGTATCATTTATGTCAAAGGCAGCTGAAAATATAGGTATTGTTAGGCGTACATGTACATCGGATATGTTTGGATAATAAGTACATCGGAAATGTTTGGATAAAAATGTTCTGCAAATGATATGCAAGGTACTTTAGAAGCTCGTAACATATTCATTCATGTTGTCAAATCATGGGAAAACGAATATTAGAAAATTAATGAAATATTTGAAAAACTGTCAGACTATAATTTAAAATGACTTACTTTATTGCATAATAAACATTACTCTGAAAGAAGCATTCTTTGCCTCCAAGGGCATAGGGTAGTCTGGTGGTTACTTTTGGGGCTCATCGCGCGGAATGACCGGGTTCTGCTCCCCTCGTGGGTACAAGGTGTGAAGCCAATTGGTGGTGTCCCATCCTCGTAATTCTAAAAAACCCCAAACTCACTCACTCTTCCCCAGGAAACATCTGTGTGGTCCCTATCGTGAAGACCATCGGCCTTGGCCTCGGTATCTGTGTCTGGGGCTCCGTGCAGTTGCTCATCGGCTGGGCCAACGGCAGGTGCGTCATGTCCGTCATGGACGTCAATGTTTGAGCGTTTGGTCTGATACAGTTTGCAATAAATGACATTGTAAACATAATGCTTATAGATGGTACCTGAGGTGAGGCGATGGCTCTGGTTAGACATCCCGAGTCGAATTCTTGAGCACCATTTTACCTGAAAAGTGCTTTACTGTCGTCACTTTCAGTTTAAGTAAACGCTTTTAAAACAGCTTTTGACCCAGTTTTTAACTCTTTGTTAATGTATCGATATCGGATATTGCGCTACCATGTTATATAATTCATACCTTGAGATAAACATGTTGCAGGTTCGGGCTGGTGGGCGTGGACGCCGAGATCCCCAACAACATCACCTTGAACTACGTCGGCGTTTCCATCTCTTTCGTCAGGTAAAACAAGCACATCTACTGTGTGTATTCTATACACATGTATGCAGTAGAGGGGATGAAGATGAGTTAGATGAACAAGCGGCGATGAAGGTGCCAGTGATAGGAGATACGCGTAAAGTGTAGGTGGGGCGTGGCTGTCGACGTGAACTCTGAATATGCGTGTGGATTCATAGATATGATTTGTGTTGCTTGTTTATCTCGTTGCACTCGGCAATATTCCATTTGTAAATAGACGAGTATGGACCGGGCAATCCAGTGATTGGCATCACGAGCATCAATCTACGCAGTTGGATACGATGACATGTGTCAATAGTCAAAGAGCTTGACCTTTTACGACAAGCATGGGTTGCTCAAGACAAATTCTTACCTGGATCTTCACGGGTCTTTGTGATATGAAAAGGGATCGAATAGCTGGGTGTAGTTTGGAAATAGGATTATATTACATTATTAAAAAACGCAGGTGATATTCGGAAATATCAAAATTTATAAAAATCAATATTTTAAGAGATATTAGTTTCTGTTTCTAATTGGCTCTTATGTAAGAAGTTGATTTTATGAAGGACTGGAGAGAAAGTGTTTCTGGATAAACAGTGCCCACAATGTGTCAAACATCCTTTCACTTAACGAGGCCTACAGAGTGTAAGTCTCTTACAGTCAATTTGAGGGAGTCCGTCTCACTCCTTTTGCAGCGCCTGGCCAAGTTCAATATGGTCGGCAGCCAATGACGCTGACGTACAGGTCGCCCTGATTACTTGTGACAATACAAGTGCGTGTAAATGGTTCATGTTGGTGTAGGTTTAGCAGGGTATCAGTATAAGTGAACACTATAGATTTGAGATTTAAACACGTCTTGTTGTCGGGGTAGATATAGGTGGGATTGAAATATATAGACCTTTTCAATTGTATGCTAGAAACATTATTGTGGTGGGAACATGGTAATGACAATGTGGTAACATCTGTGTATTTCTCTGCAGTACATTGATGTATGCGTTTGTCAAGCCAGATATTCAACCTATTACCATGGAGTTGACAATACCAGGACCTGACGAAGAGGCGGCCGACAGTAAGGTCAGTATATGTTAAGCAGTGAGTGAGTGAGTGAGTCAGTGAATTGTTTTATCGCCTTCAGCAATGTTCTATCGATATCAGTACGCATGTCACGTGGGGAACCGAACCCGTGCTGTTGGTGTGGGGTGCGAACCACTGTGCTACCCTGGTCACAGGTGTCGACAGCTCCGGTGTGCATGAGTAGGTAACTAAATACATCTGTACCTGTGTGGAAAATATAACGACACAAAATGCATATTTACTCGCATGATAAAGCATGACTGTATTGCAAAATGAATTTGATTGTGTTAATTAAATACCTAATAGCACATAAATTTGATTTGATTTTTTTGGCCATTTTGTCAAATGTTGAATATGTTTCTTCAAATGGTCCAGAAGTTTTAAACAGTATCTTGACAGATTACTCGTACCATGCACATGTGTTCTTTTCCTTGAAAACCTTGAAAACCAGTGGCAATTCCATGTAAAATATTGACCCCAACAAACCATTGTGATTGTCGTAAAATGCGACTAAATGGATGGTCAAGTTTTGGTTAATTGGTTTCTTATCTGTCATCGATTTCCAATCGATGTTCAATATATCAGTCACTGGCTTGTATAGTTGAGAATCGATAATACACAAGCCTCTGTAATATAAGAATACACAATGCCTTTTAAGAAAGTGGTCAAATGTGCCATATGTTACCCTTAGGTCTTGTACTTTTTATGGTTGAGTGCAATGCGGGATTCGAACCCACACTTGCAGCTTGAAGTCATCACACACTATTATATAGCTACGGTGTGTTTAGTTTTATGCCGAGTTTAGCAAATTTCCAGCAATATTCCAGCAATATCCAGAAATACGAACCCGGGTCTTTGGCGTGACGAGCGAACGCCTTTACAACTAGGCTACCCAACCCCCCCTATATAGCTATAGCGTACACCAGTCCCATGGATAAATTCTATAGCCAATGGCTTGTCGAAGTCCACGAAAAATCAATCCAAATCCTTGTAATACTTATCAAGGATTTATCAAGAGGCGTTTGGGTAGTCTAGTGGTTAAAACGTTGGCTCGTAACGCCGAAACCAGAGTTCGATTCCCCACATGGGTACAACGTGTGAAACCCATGTCTGGTGTCCCCCACCGTGATTTTGCTGGAATATTGTTAAAAGCAGCTTAAAACCGCACTCACTCACCCATTTAAGCCTCTTAAACGTTAAAAACCCCCATCCATGTTGTATGTTTATGCAAATCGCCATGTCAACAGCTGATAAATTACGATGTAATATTTATCCACCATTTCCACGTCCTACAGGGGATCCGCATGGCTCAACCCAAAGACGGTGACATGGAAGAAAATGCCCCTGAAAAACCAAACCCCGGACAAATGTTTATAGAAAGATGGTCACCTGTCAAGAAGAAGATAATGTATGTTGAATGTTTCCACTTCTAAACCGCCAGTTCAGTTGAAACATATATTAGTTTCAAAGTATGTAAATTAATATTAATGCAAATTAGGACGGATCTGGTATAATCCTAAATTGCTTTCCCTAATGATAAATATGTATTCAACTCACTGTTAATACATTCATAAACTCAGAGTACAAATTGTGATGTGACAAAATGTTTACTTTACCTTAAGCCAAATTTCCATGATGACATAAAATCACATAGAGCCATTCAGTTCCTAATTACATTTAAAGAAATAACCCTATACAAATTGAGCGGTATGTTTTGTCATTCTTTCAGTGGTATTGTTCTAGCTGCTTTCTCCGGTATGATGTACGCCTTCCAGTTCATCCCGGCCAGATATCTGCAAGAACACGAGAAAGACAACGGTGCCAGTCAGAACTGTGAGGATGCTGCTCACATTTGGGGGCGGTGGGGTAGCCTAGTGGTTAAAGCGTTCGCTCGCCACGCCGATAACCCGGTTCAATTCCCCACATGGGAGCAATGTGTGAAGCCAATTTCTGGTGTCCCCTGCCGTGATATTGCTGGAATATTACTAAAAGCGGCGTAAAACTAAACTAACTCACTCACTAATCACACTTGATATAGTAACCGGAAATCCGGAAACCCTGTCTCAGGGACATATACAGTTTGGAACGATGAGACATAATTTTGAGCTCAAATCTTTGAAGGGCATTTAGAAGTGGAATGCATAAGAAAAGCAATATTTATGGATGTCAACTTCTTTATTGTGAATAACAGGACGTTTCGGATTGTATGCTTTCGGAGTGTATGACCAGATGTAGAAGTAAGCATACACTCCAAATCGTCGTGTTATTTACAATAAAGAAGTTGACATCCATAAATCTTGCTTTTCTTTTCTAATTTTGGGCTGTTACTCCGGACCAGTGATTCGTTTATCTGAAAATATATAACTTTGTGTTTTTATGTTGAAGATTGGTACAGTCCAGATTAGCGGGGTTCTGTTGTATTAAGAGATCAGTTGTTACAGACGCAACTCCGTCACAGGGATTTGTTGGCATATTTATTGTATAAGACACTATCCAGACTCTGTTAATAGGGAGACACGCCAGTATGTTGGACCCCATCATCCCGGAAATCCTACATTGTGGGCGATTACCTTTGGAAAGCGCTAAATTGACCCAATAGGACTCAAGGCCTAATACATGATATGTTAATCCGGATGATGTCAGTGATAATGAGAGAGTCCGGACTACCGGTGTTTCATTGTTCACAATTTACTTCCAGCCATCGACTACGTGTTTGCTCACTACTGCGGTATCTACCTCACCGCAACCGTCTACTTCGTCATCTACACTGTCTTCTTGCGCAACCGGCCCAAGGTGTTCCTTCGGGTGATCGTCCCGGGTCTAGTGTCGGGTTTGATGTGGGGGGTAGGGACAGCCTCATGGTTCATCGCTAACAAGGCTCTCTCAGACCCCGTCTCCTTCCCAATCATCTCTACCGTCCCTATGGGAATCTCGCTTCTGATTGGAGTGGTGGCCTTCAAGGAGATCAAGGTAGGTCGATGGTGTGAATGAATTGAGTGAATATTGATGAACCCCATCAGTCAAGTCACACACTAGAATCCCTTGGTGTTCACGAAGTCGAACACTATGACAAGCTCTGTGCACTGGCGACCTGTTGTTTGTTACACCAACGATAAGTATTCACAGTTTATCTGTCAAAATCTTATGATATTACTTTCAAGGTACCCGTGAGGATGGTTAGAAGTGGTCTTCAGTTACTCATGCTTGTCGTAAGAGGCGACTAACGGTATCGGGTGGCTTGTTTGACAAAACAGATTCGGACAATGGTCATTCTGACTCCCTGGTCACAGGCTCCCTGACTTGGTGACATATGTCATCGTAAACAATTGCCTATATCGATGCTCATGATGTTGGTCACTGGATTGTCTGGTCCAGACCCGATGATTATTGGTTGGATAACGCAGGTTCAATAAAGTCAGAGTGACCTGGGTTATTCCTTCTCGGTGCTGGTGTAGGTGGTGTCAGCGAAATCTGTCCTGGCTGATCCTCTACATACAGGGTTGTGTCCAGTTGTGTCCACATCCGACACATCCAGTGGCGGCGAAGGAATACGTGGCTTGGGAATCGGTTTACCGTCTGAACCAACCCGGAGAAGCACGTTACGGTGGAGAACCCGACATTCAACAGTGCCTACCTTTCGGACTTTGAAAACTGGAATGCCCATATTGGGTTGTGCCTCCACGACATAGAAATTCTCTTCCAACGATCGGCCATCTTCTGTTTACCTCTGAACCAACGTTACGAACCAACACCACATCATGAACCTTGACTGTTGCACCACGAGCTTTGAAGTGGTAAGCTTTCCGTTGTTTCGCTCGGGCCTTTTCAAGGTTTGCTGATGCCAACTCATACGCAGAATTTAATTTGCGCTTCAAATCAGCAGCCAACTGCGTATAAGTGGGTGAAGGTGCGGTAGCTAAAGATAAGCCAAATGCATCGTTGACTGGCAACCTGGGATGTCTACCAAACATGAGATAATAAGGAGAAAACCCGGTTAACTCATGAACTGTGCAGTTGTAGGCGTGGACCAGATGAGACAAATTGTTTTTCCAACGTGCATTTTCATGGTCATGCAATGTACCGATCATCCCTAGAAGTGTACGGTTAAACCTTTCAACCAGCTCGTTCCCCATCGGGTGATCGAATGCAATCTGCCTGGCGCCCCGCAATGAACAATAAAGTTCTCAGAGGGTGCTTTGGCAGTTGTCTGATTCCAAGTTGGAATGGCAACGGCATATTTAGTAAAATGATCGGAAATTACTAGGACATTTTCGTAACCACCAGCGGATGGTTCGAGAGAAAGGAAGTCCATACAGACCATTTCCATCGGTTGAGATGTCTCCACATTACCAGAGGTGCCTTTTTGGTCAGATTGGGAGCTTTGCTCAAAATGCAGCGTTGACAACTACGGATATGGTTCTCAGCATCCCCTATTTACTCCAGGCCAATAGTACCAGGCCAACCTGGTATGGAGAAGTGCCACTCTCCGATCCCTACCCAGATGTCCCATACCATCATGAAGGTGTGTGATGATGGTCTCACGTTGAGGTTTGGGAACAATCGTCTGAAAATAGGGATTGCCACTGTCGCCCTGTTGTCTCACCAGAATTTTATTTATGTGATGAAGTGAATCCCACTGACGTAAAATGTTGGCAGTTTCTCATTCCTTTGAAGGACGATTACTAGTGCGGAGTAGTTCTACAATCGAGCAGATTGAAGGATACGCCTACTGGAACATTAGCATTTTATTATCAGTCCCAACACTGGAAGAACTAGGATCATTGACAGAAATCATATGGCTCAAAACTTCAGTCACGTCGTGGGTCATAGATAATGTTTCCACAAAAGGAGTGGTCTGCTGTAAGTTACAGATAGCAGATACAGATTTGATGTCTAACACCTCCCGTGGCAACATGGACAGAGCATTAGCATCCCTATTCCTTGCGCCTGGAATGTACTTTATAGAAAAATCGTAGGCAGCAAGATTAGCAAGCCGGCGATCACCACAGGCATCAAGTTTAACAGAGGTCAGAACATATGTCAAGGGGATATTATCTATCCAAACAGTGAAATGGTTGCCGTACAAGTAGTCATGAAACTAAACAGTTACGGCCCATTTTAACTCTAACTTGTGAGCTGGATGTCTGCGCTCAGAGCAAGACAATCCTCTGCTTGCATAGGCGATCACTCTTTTCTCACCTTCTGGTTTTGGTATAAGGCCTTCACCGCTAGCATCAATGTGTAGCTCGAAAGGTTGAGAGGAGTCTGCATAGGCTAAGATTGGAGCACTGCTGAGCTTGTTCACAAGTTCACTGAAGGCAGTTTGATGTTCATTACCCCACATCCACTGCTTATCTGTCTTACGTGTCCTCTTTTTGCCGCAGTGCCCAACTAATAAACCGATCAGCGGTTTTACAATCTTAGCATAGTTTGGCACAAAATGACGGGAATAACCAGAGAACCCAAGGAAGCGATGAACGTCATCAACACTTTGCGGTACTGGCCATGTCTGGAGGGCTTCAATTTTCTCTGAATCGGTGGTGATGCCGTCTTCAGACATTACGTGACCCAGATATTTAACAGGTCCGCAAGAATTGGCATTTGGAAGGCTTCACCTTGAGGCCCTTCTCTCGCAATCGTTGAAAAATTGCTTGTAATCTCTCAAGATGTTCATAAAATGTCTTAGTAAATACAATGACGTCATCAAGATAAATAGAATAGGGCATAGGATTACACTCGTAAAATCCTAACGGACCAACTGTGAAAGCCGTACAAGGCTTGTGCTCCTCCACGAGACCTCAACTTGCCAGTAACCGGACTTAAGATCCAGACAGGAAAAATACTGTGCGCCATGAAGTGAATCAAGGGTTTCTTCAATCCTGGGAAGAGCATACGAATCGCGAATCGTGCGTTTGTTCAAGTCTTTAAGCTCAATGCAAAATCTCAGAGAAGAATCTTTCTTGTGTACGAGTACCACAAGAGAAGCATAGGGAGTTGTTGAAGGACAGATAACGTTCGAATCCAGTATCTGTTTAAGATGATCCCTAACCTCATGATACATAGAAGGTGGAATATGGCGATGTCGTTCCCTAAATGGTTGTTCGTCTGTGAGTTCAATCCTATGAGTGACCAAATCAATCCTATGAGAATGTCCCACATCCATATCAGATTTACTGAAGCCATCATCGAATTCAGAAAGGAGAGACTTCAACTGGGCTATCTGCTCTGGTGTGTAGGAAGTTTAATTTAAATTAAACAAGTCTTGTTTCTCGGAATCAGGCCATGGATAGTCTCTTCATGTTCTGAAGGAAGGCCTTCAACCAAACTAACCTGTTCCAGGCAGCAAAGAACTGTCTTGGCTGGAATGGTAATTGGTTTTGAAGATGGATTTGTGACCATCAACTGTTCCCCTTGTTGTTGTCTGTCCTGGTTTAGAATTGACAATACCATTGATGACGTTCAGTGCACGAGAAGTAGCAAAGAAATGCTTACCCTTCTGCTGTGGCTTACCCCTGCAAATACCAGCGACAATCTGAATGCAGGAAGCAGGGATAGTAATTGACTTGGTAGTCAGCACACTTTCAGTACTGTTAAGGTCAAGCAGAGAATCTCTTAACCACTGACGAGCCCGAGTCCATGAAGGAGAAGTACCAGAAATCGGTGAATCAAAAAGGCTATGTGCATGACGTTGGTACCAAGAATCAAAGGCACATTTTTGTGATATAGAGTTGTAGGTACTATGAGAATAGGGGTTGGTACCTCAACTGCTTCACCCAAGAAGTCACTAGGTACAAGAATAACTGTATCAATATACCCAAGATACCCAGTCCCCAGCACCTGTCAAATCTAAAAGTGACCCAAGCTTCTGAAGCGGAAGATGATTGAGGTGACATTGGTGGACGGTCTCTGACATACTCGAAATCTGTGAGCCTGTGTCCGAAAAAACCTTGCAAGAAATACTTTTCACCTGAACAGCAGCTGAATTGGAAGGTCCCACTAAATTCGGCGGAAGTCTTAACACAAAAGTCTGAGGGGTTGCCAGAAGGGTCTTGTGGGGTGTGTTGTGATTGGAATTCTTCTCCAAAGAAGTTTGATGGCTTATATTGGCAAATATTAACCTCTGGATATTTTGATAACGAAAATAGGGCGCATGTATGTGTATGTATACGTACAAAGAATTCATTCATATAACTCTTTCGTGCGCAATAATCGTAACGGGTGCGCGAAAGTGCGACAAAAGATTTCCTCCATTGCGGCCTATAGAGGTGCTTCATAGTGTTAGTGTTGAAACTCTCGTGGAAACGGGTGAAAATGAACTGTGCAAAACCCCCACCCCCACCCCATTTCTCACAAAAACGTATCCCATAGGTGGATCCAGAGGGAAGGGGGTGGGAAGGAACGGGTGCGCACCCCCTTTAGTCCTGAAGTTTATTGAATGACCATTGAAACTCTCGTGAAAATGAAGTGTGCACCCCCTTTCTCAAAAGTGTGCATTCCCCTTTCTCAAAAGCTCTATCCGCCCTGTACCCCCCTCCCCTCTGAATACTGGGGATGTGTCAACCGTATTTGCGATGTACCGATCTCTAACAGAAGCAACTCTCTAATAGCCGGAGGTATGGTCACCGTGAGGCTCTTGAAATCAGCTTCACCCCCCAAATAATTTCACGTCCGTCTCAAAAAAATTCCTAAATTACTCATGTGCCTCCAACGCTGCCTTTTCAAAAGGCTTTTCTTGTTTACATACTGTCTCCATATATCTGGAATATTGCTGAGTGCAGCGTTATACAACAGACGTTCAAAGAGCATCATGAGCACCATGGGTTCCGTCGACCAAACCTGTGGCCTTGAATATTGTTAAATAAGACAATGTCAATAATGGTCGTATTCCTCTCTTTATAATCTTTCTTTGTGTCCCTTGACTGAATCCCCAAAATATAAACTCGGTGAAGTAGATCCCGTATTGTTGATCATGACGTATCTTGGCATAATTATCACATTTCGTGTTTTGCAGGGTCGTCGCAATATCATCATTGTTGTCGTCGCCATGACGTGCACCATAGCTGGGGCGGTAGTGGCCGGCGTCTCAAAGACGTAATCACATGACAGCCGCGTCTGGTGTTGGGAGGCATGAATACTCGGACTACAACATGACATGACGCCGTCTGTCGGGGCTTTACGCTCTTCACCATTACAACATCCGGAACTTTCTACTACTATTGACATAATCTCATCCAAATTAGGCCCTCCACATTTTTTTATGTTTCTCATCTCCAAACTGTTGTTGATGAGGGGCGGGCAAGCGGGCGAAAAAGCAAAAAAAAAAGCAAAAACAAGAAAGAAAAATAAAGCAGTTTGCCATCTTCTTTTCAAGTTGGTGACAGAAAATGACCCTACTACAGTACCCAGACCATTAAAAGAGGCTTTTCTTATTGTGAGAATCCTTTTTTCTCAACTTTAGACAGTTCATATATCATTAGATATAAGGAATCTATATGAAATCCTGAGAGAATGCATGTATTGACTCTTAATTAAATAAGTTATACTACAAACTTTTAATAGAGCCTCTTTAAATGCCACATTGAATCATAATACAACAACAAAGTCAGTTCTTCAAAACTGACAATTTGTTTATTTTTGAAGAGATGTATAGCTTTTCGAAGTTTTTTGGGCCACGGATCATAGGCTGTCGTCCACTGGTAGCACACTGGTTGCAGGTCCACAGTTTGTTTAATATCCAAGCGCAATACGAATTGACACGATATAAGATAGCGAGGAAAACGCCATGAAACATCAGTATATTGTCAGGGCATTTCCTACGACAGAACACGAGACAGTGTAAGTCTCGGGTGTCATAGCATCTATGAAATAATGTAAACTCACTTTATATATCAGCCCTTGTGTTATTTCCGACGGCAATTCTTCAACTATTGCCGCATTCAAATTTAACAAATAGTTCTCATACTACCACCAACCTCAATGTGAAAAGAATCGGAGATACACCTCCAACCAACGGACCTGTGTCCCCTGGATGACCTTTATCGCAAATTTGTAATTATTACACATCCCTGAAGAAATTCCGTGTAGAATGTAACCTTTAATTATAAATACGAATAGTACGTTTTGATCAACAGTTCCTCACACATTTCATTTTGTTTTCAAATTCTGACTCTGAAGCATACTTAATGTACCATACACCTATTATCCAAGAAGTCGGTTGCAGCATAAATACCAGTCATCATAGTTTGAAATAAAAGATTTAGCCCTCATGAAATGTGCCCATCAGTCAGTGCTGTGCTGTGCAAAAGTGTAACACCATTTAACCTCTAAACATAAGTAGTCATTTACAGAGGTTGTCTCAACAAACAGATCATTCTGACCACCCAAGAGGATGTGTATTGTATAATTACATGACATATGTATCTTCTTGTTTTGGTAACATTATGTTGATGCAATATTTCATATGACAGACCATATACTATCTAGTTATAGCTTTATATTTTGATTTTGATTCAGCAGTTCTGATGAAAACTTTAGCTTTATGTCTGTTTGTTAGGAATTAACATAGAAAATGTGTTTAAAATGAAATATGTTTTTGATGACATAAATTTGAATTTAACCCCACAATCATTCCATGTCGATATGTGTATGCATTATTTATATTTTTGCAAATTCAACAGACAATACTTATGTACAATAACTGAATACAGCCAGGCATGTGTAATGTAATATTAAAGTACACACGCACCATCATACAAAAATATCAGATAAAATTCACGACGAAATTCACACATTGCACAATGTTCAATGCTTTCACATTTCGCGCACCGCATCAGCTCCCGGCCGTACTGAATTACACGAATGCAGCCTAATCGGCTTAATACGATATAGATTTGAGTACATATGCAATGAGAATACACTGCAGGCTTAAAAGTGTGATATTCAGACGTCTAGTGCCAGACTTAAATTACCTATTGCAAAACGTCAACAAAACGAAAAAACAAGACCTGAAAACGATCAGCTGATTCCACCGCCTCGCTTCGAATGGTGAGGTGAGGTGAGGTGAAATTGGGTTTAACGTCGCGCTGGAGAATATTTCGCTCATATGACGACGTGCATGCGTGTGTATATGTATGTGGGGCTGCTTGTACTAGCCCAGACTTAAGCTGGTTTTATAGTGCTAGCTCACTGAGGTACCATGCCGCAGTGAAGCATGAGTACCCCACTCAGACACATTATACTGACTCCGAGCCGACCAGTCCTTGTTGTACCCATTAATGCCGAGCGCCACGCAGGGACCAACAAGTACCACATTTTAACGTCGTTTGGTATGACGCGGTCGGGGATCGAACCCGCGACCTTCCGCTCTCCGGGCGAACGCTCTAACCACTACACCACGGAGGCGGTCCACTTCGAATGGCCATTTCGCGATTCATTAATGCAATATAAGCAGTCATGGCTATCCCAGGTGTATCATGAAATCACGGAACAAATATTTCAGGATATCACACTTGATATATCATCGGTCAAGGGAAAAGATATACTGTCCATATGCACCAGCGTGAACGTTACCGGTGATGGTGAAGGCTGTACTGGTTAACTGTCTCTAAGTGTTTAGTAACACGTGCAGCTCCCATCGCGCATTCGTAAGACATGCGCTGTCAGTTTAAGGTTGGACTGTCCGGATCAGCGCTCCAAGCGGATTAGTGAAGGGAAGATTAAAAAAAGATCGCCCATTTAGATGCTTGAGAGACTTTTCAAAATATTATATTTTTTTTAAAGTTGACTTTTAAGACACATTTTTCGTTTGATCGGGCTGAAATTATTGCTGTCGGCGACATTTTGTCAAATAAAAAAAGTATTTTGTTCCGTCGGAAGGAAAATTTGGGTAGGTCGGGAGATCAGAAACACAGAAACAAATACGGACGGCCTTAGATATTTGTGGTTGGTACCGACACACTCTGGGATATCACATTTCAGATCACTTCAGGTCGTCCTTTCGCGAACTTTGATCGGTAAATGATCAACAATGATCGGTAAATGATCTCTCGACTTTAGTTACAAAATGGCGAACCTTCTTTCTGGACTATACTTACAAGTCAAAACATTGATTACACAACAGTCTCGTTTCCTGCTGACTGGGTTCCTTCCTATTGCGCAACTTACTACAATAACCAGTCCAGAATTTTGAGCCCAATTCATTCAACTGGATGCATAAATATTAATCAGTATTGTAACTACCATTTTCTTATGAAACAAGGAAATGGATTTCTGTGTAACCATAGTTGTTTGTGGTGTCTCTTTTTACTTTCACACGAGAAAATTCGGATCGGCTGAACAGTAGGTCATTGTCTGAATAGGTTAATGAGACTCATGTTTCGGTTTGTTATACACTTCTGCATTTTTTGACAAAGTTCTCTATTCCAAATCTGAAAACTGATCAAAACAAAATTCTGAAGTGTCTAATATTGTGTGGTGGAATTCACAGGTCATGGACATTTTTTCAGTGGGTTTGTTCCTTTACTGCCATAACTGTCATTCGGAATGCCTCCTGGCAACCCTTTTGAAATTAATGATTACAAAACAAATTCGGACTTTCCCTCTCGCGAGCTCAAACCGACGTTCTGATTGGTCAGATGAAAGGTCGTTCTGATGACCGATTTGTGTATTCATAATAGGACAGGCTCCCTGACTTGGTTAACACATGTCATCGTATCCCAATTGCGTAGATCGATACTCATGCTGTTGATCCCTGGATTGTCTGGACCAGACTCGATCATTTACAGACCGCCGCCATATACATTGTAGATGAAATACTGCTGAGTACGGCTTTAAACAACCAGCGAAACATTTCTGATTTTGATCATTGACGAAGATGATGGCCCATGTAAATCTCTATTTTGACTTGTAACAGTTATTGACTTGCCGTCACATGTGTTTGTGACACCGATGGGGCAGGATACGCTCACCTTTTCAGAAACTCAGACTTAGTGGAATAGCTTGTGTTGGAAGCCGTACCGTGAAGCTGATGTGACGTCAACACTGATATGATACAACGAAGCAACTGGTGTGACATCAGTAAAAATTTCGACAACAGTGGTGCTGTGATTAGTTACGAATGGCATTTATTACAATACTATTACCCAAACTATCAATAATAAATGGATATATTTAGGGATGTATATCTTCACTCATCCTCGATAATCTCCAGGGTGTAAGTTCCGATAAATCTACTATAGTGGAGATTTATCGGAACGTATACCCTGGAGATTATCGAGGATGATCTTCACTGTACGAATCACATAAACGCCCTGCACACATGGGGCTTTCGGGGAAAACCAGGTTCACAGTAACCCAACCTTGGCTGAAAAGAGGATCAACTGTTGGGCCTTGTTACCACCAATGGGGTCCGTTTTGGTGAAGACTGATAAATGTCACAGTGACCCGCCGCCCCGCTTTGACTGAGTGTGGCATAAGGAGCTCGCTCTTTTGTTTCAGCAACATGGTGTTCTACAAGGCTTAGTCATTAACCCGTGCCTATTACGGTACATTGCTTATAATTTGAACTGTATGACTGTATATATTCAAATTTAGAAAACGGAAGTGGTCCAAAAAGTGAATATTGACTTAACAACAGCTCGGGCATGATTTAACAACATACAAAAGGATCGGGACGATAACAAGAGTCTGTTAATGATTTACAACAATTTGCTTCCGTTGAACAAATGTCGTGGTGTAACAACAGTCTCTTTGTGGTGTTGGTATTACACCAGTTTGTGTAGCAACAATCTGTTCGCGATGTAACAACAATTTGTTCCCCGTTCGTGATGTAACAACAATCTGGCCATAATGTAATAATATGTTCGTAGTGAAACAACGGACATATTATTACATTATGGCCAGATTGTTGTTGCCCTTTACTGGTGTCCCCCGCCGTGATATGGCTGGAATATTGCTAAAAGCGGCGTTACATCCCGAACAGGTTGCACATTCGAACAACAGAAACAACAAGAACGCAACATTGTCAAAAATCACTACAATTTGTAAACTAGACTTATTTGTAAATTCAGATGTATTTTAACATAACATCTACATCTTCCATCCCATAAAACTTTAAACTGAAACGTCTTAGCTCCATCATGGAAATTGTTACCGACACATACTACACTACTTGGGCCAACTGTAGGCGGCTGATAATGCCTAACCCGTGCCTGACTTCTGAAGGGTCCCGTGACATCAATCATACCCTAACAGCCGAATGTAGGCAATTTCTCTGTAATGTAACCTGCTCTCCGGCGTAACTACTTAGGGCCTCATTTTTTTTATGTGTTTCACGTAGCTACCAAATTCTGAACATGGGTCGGTC